AGTGATATATTTACGTAGCTATTCCCACCTGTCACTCGTCTGCCAGCTTTAATGCGTCAGCATTGCACAAAACGCCCAGCCAGCCAATGCCAGACCTGGAAGCTGCTGCATTTATAAGATTTGTTTTCAAAATATCCCCAATCACCCAGCAACAGGGAAAGGGATTTCATTGGCTCTCTCCCTGTCAGCTGGGAAGGAGGATGATCCAAATGGGCAGATGTTTGGACACAGCGGCAGTATGGCAAATGTGGAATGCTATAAATATCATATAAAGCATGATGTTTTCATCCCCCCAAATAAATATCAAAGGTAAAAGAGTGGTACTGTAGCAGGGCAGGTAGTTTCAATCTGCAGTGTGATAGGAGCAATAAAAGAGAGATGTTGGTTTCCGATCTTATCTGCCTGATGAAAGAAAGAACTACTGCGGGTGGGGCCTCATGGATGTGAGCTAGAGCTTTGGGTATGGAAACAAACAAGGCTCTTTCTGCTAGAAGGTGGGACAATTGGACAGCAGGTCTTCTAGATGCAAAATAAGCACCCAAAGTTATTTAATCCGTACTTGGGCTTGTGAATTACCTTGCCTTTTAAAAGGTCTGCCTTCTGTTTAATTCTTCAGACTGATTCTTCCCCAGGGAATTGCAGAAACCAAACAAGAGAGCCAGGGAACAGACTAAGGTTACCTGGGCCTTGAATGACAGGCTAGAACACCATCCCACCCACTCCACTCATTTCTTGTGCAGTCTACAGCAGAGAATAAGATTTTCCTCTTTCTGCTTTTTGTTCTTTTGTTGCTACTATAGCACAGACGAGAAATACTGACCAAATTTGTATGTGAACCAAAGCAATTAGGGAATGCTCTGGAAAGAAAACAGTATAAAACAGACAAGGAAAAAGTGAATCCTTAAGCTGACGGCATCCAGTCCTTTTCTGGGGACCCAGTTTCTCATCCCTTCAGGCTACACAGGGTACGATCATCAGCTCTCAATAATGAAAAGTGGATCGTCTCCAGGTGCTTCAATGACAGGAGCCCACACATATGTTGTCACTGGCTAAGGACTTTCATGTAAGCCAAGCAGTTCGACTGTAAGCATGCCCTCAGTATAAACTCTTTACTGCACATTGCCCTGGGCACCTGCTACTTGCTGACTTAGTGCAGCAAAATGGAGTGAAGGTACTCTACTTTTCCAGAGAATTAGATTGGAAATTAACCATAATTAATATAGTAATTATAATTAACAACGGGCAACATATTAACTTTTGATCCAACACTATTACATGCATGTTAATTCTGTAGACTCACATTAACAAATTAGCATGTGAATATCATTTCTGCATACCTCTAATGGGTAGGAATAATGGTACAGTGAAATTGGCCTTAGTCAAAGTATAAGTCTAAGCTACCGTAAAACTTTGTCTCCAGTGCCTACCAAAATGCCTGACACATAGTAGGCGCTCAATGAAGTATTTGTGGAACTGGGGCAATAAATAGATGAGTAAATTAATAAACTGATAAATGGCATAAACTTGCGAATCTGCCATAGTGTCACAGATGATAAGCTCTGGAAAGCTATGAAACATTTAGATCTTATTTTGCTTGTTTGGGTGAATGGGTCAAGCAGAAATAAATACCGAAGGCTTTGGGCCATACTGGTATGAGGTAAGTATTATTACCTCGTTTTGTAGAAAAGGAGACTGAGTTCTAAAGTAAAATAACTCAATTGAGGTTACAGAGTTAGCAGGTCACAGTCCAAGATTTGAATCCAGGTCTGATCCGAAGCCTATCCTGTTGCCATTATAAGAATCTGCTTTCACGCCGATGTATTTTTTAAGTCCTGAAATATGCGCTCAGGGAGCAGGACATCCTGCATCTCCCCTCCGCATGAGCTCTTCTTCTGTTGCTATTTTGGAGATGACACAGAAAAAAATTGAGAGACAAGGTGTGGGAAGGACAAAGCCTCTGCAATTTTATGAGCTCTAAACAGGTCACTGAACAGTTGAAGCCGTAAAGCCCTTCATCCCATTGCTTGTGGTGGGCTCTGCAGAGGTGGAAGAACCAGCCCCTCTGGGTCTGTGCAGGCCAACACCGTCACTAGACATTCGTTCAAAATCCAGCTCTGGCTCACCTTGCCATGTAACTGTGGGCAACAGCTGCTACCCTTTGGCTTCCCTTTCCCCCGTCATAGAAGTGGGGTAAGAGGAGCAGCCCCAGTGATTAGAGATGACAATGTGGAAGAAAGCCCTGCATTTATATTTGCATATTGTAATTGCTCTATCAATATATAATGCTTTTTCTCATTCCCTTGTGCTCTTAAGATATAGTCTATAAAGTTATCCAGTGTTTCTGTCTGGTCTTGCTTCATCAGTGAATGTTGTTCTTTATTTAAGATGGAATAAACACTGTTTTCTGTTACAGTTAAAAAAAAAAAAAAACTCAGACCGAAGTACAAATTTAAAGCTAGCAATGCCCACTAGACAAGGCTTTTGGAGGCTCCAGCTCCCCAACTTTTGCCCCAGCATCCATTTCCCTGGGAAACTGCCCTTATGAGGACTTTTACCACTTCCTGCAGGCCCAGTGAGAGGCAGGCTACCGCAAACCCTAGAGCAAATCTTGGAAGGCTTACCTACAGCAGACGTTCTCACTGTTTGTGTGTGTGAGAGAGAAAGAGCTATTCCTCACTTATGTAAAGTCAGTGTATTAGTAAGTATGGGTTTTCAGGAAATGTTTTAAGTGGAGCAGGCAATCTGCCCCTTCCCACTAAACATGGCAACAGACAAGGAGAAAGAAGTGTGGTAGGAAATGAGCCCATGAAACCAGCAAATCAATGAACCTGCAAAAACTTCCAACCAGTTTTTAGATCCAGGTCTGATCCAAGAGAAAACTTTGCCTGGCACATTGAAGCTTTGGAGGGATTTTTTTTCTTATTCAATTTGGCTCTGTGCACTAGAATGGGGATTCTTGGGATGCATAAGTGGTAGGTCTAGGTCAAGGGCTCTCAGCCCTGGCTGGATAATGGACTCCACCAACTTCAAAACCAACAACCATACCTGGGCATCCCCCAGACCAGTTAAAAAGAAGTGGAGCAGAGATGCAGGTACTGGTACACTTTTTAAAGCTCCAGGTGATTCTGTTATGAAGGTAAGAATGAAAATTACAGGTCTAGCTGGTGGCTCACAGAACACTGCTCCACAAAACATTAAGACATATGCCACATGCCCACAAAGGGTTCTGCTACCATGAGGCTTTAAATAGGTATCTTCACTGCAAATTTTCTGAGATGCTATACTCTCGCAGGCACTGGACCTCAAATGGTAGCTCGTCAGCTTTTCTTAGCCATTTTTGAGCATGCACTGTTTTAAAAGCCCATCTTCTATCTCCGTAACTGTGCCAGGAAACACCAGTTTGCACACATGCTGACCTGAACCATGCATGTTCCACACATTGTTAAGGGGGAGGCACAAAAACTCCTAAGTAGAGGCATCTTCCAGTCGCCATGTTCTGTCACCAGAAATCCACAGGACATCCAGATCCAAGCACTGATATTATGTTTGAAGATGGGTCTTTAATTATTATGGTCATCATTAAATAATGGCTGCAATAAAGACTTGTCTCAAGAATTTCCAAAGAGCAAGTCACTTTAATTACAGTAACATATATTTCAAAGCTGTTCCATTTTTACTGTGTTTCTGCCCTGAAAAGAAAATATGTTGCTGTTTTGAGTTGTAAATTGTCTCAAAGAAGGAGAGCTCCTAAAGCTTTATCTTGTCTACGAGTATCCAGAGAGGCTCAGAGAGCAGGTCTTTACCCTCCAGCAAAGGATCTCTGAAATAAAGTGGAACTGACAATGATACTGAGCTTGAGTGTGTGCAGGAATTAACGATGTACTAACTATCTAACTGCCTAAAATAAAAACGGGTAGTCAGTGATTTGTATTTTACTATGCAGAGGTGGCAAGGTGTCTTATGTGCAGCTGAGATTATGTCCTGTTGTAAATGAAACCTAAACTCCGTTTTGCAGATTCTGAGATGGGAGCTCTCTGAGTCTGTGTCTTCCCTTCTGCCTCAGACATTCCCTGATTTCCTGACTTATTCCCTTTTCCAATGAGTCTTTTTCCATTTATAGTCAGTAATGTGTAACCATGAGCAGTTTGTAAGTCATAGTAAACTCTTGGCCATACTCCATGCTAGTAGCCAGGGGCCTAAGGAGTTACTCAAGTTAGATACAGTGCAAATTCATATTGTTATTGTACTTATGGAGCACCTCATATATATGTGTGATCTTAATTTAGTCATCAGAACAGCTCTCTGACATTAGCACTTTAGGCCCTCTTGGCCTCGTGGAGAGCTAAAGCTCTGAGAAGTAAGTTGTTCACATGAGAATGGAAGCTGGGGCTGGAGTCACTGTCCATCAGTGACCTGCTCTTTAGCTGTTCCACTGATTAAAGAAAATGACAACTAACACAGAACTATTTCAGTACAGTTTAGGCTTCCATCAATAAATATAAATATTTTACAGCATTTTTCAATTTTTAAAGAATATTTGGTATCATGTATTATGGATCCTTATTTGAAAAAAATGGTTTATGGGAGTTAAATGAACATAATATTGAATAAGTAAATATTTCTATTTATATAGATCAAGATATGCATACATATCCCGTTTCTGTATTGTGTGAAGAGTATCCTTTGATGTCTTTGTCAAAGAAGGTAACACTCAGACACATCTCTGTAACAAATTAATTCCTAGTTGTTTGGCGAGCTGTAGTGTTGGATTTTCCATATCTAGCTACAGTTCTTCAGTCAGCCCCTCTTTGTGACACATTGGCTGATGAGACAGTTTGCTAGAATCAGAACCACTATCTGCAACCATAGAAAATAACTAAGCTAACATTAAAGAAAGAAATAGAAGAAGACACACAAAAAAAGGAAAAATCTTCCATGTTTGTGGATTGGAATAATTAATATAATCAAAATGTCTATACTACCAATAGTTATTTATTTGTTTATTTATTTATTTGAAAGTCAGAGTTACAGAGAGGCAGAGGCAGATAGAGGTCTTCCATGCACTGCTTCACTCCCCAGATGGCCACAACGGCCAGAGCTGTGCCAATCCAAAGCGTGGAACCAGGAGTTTCTTCCAGGTCTCCCACTTGGGTGCGGGGCCCCAAGGACTTGAGCCATCTTCTACTGCTCTCCCAGGCCATAGCAGAGAGCTGGATCAGAAGCGGAGCAGCTGGAACTTGAACCCATGTCCATATGGGATGCCAGCACTGTAGGTGGGGGCTGTACCTGGTAAGCCACAGCACCTGCCCCATCCAAAAGCAATTTACAGATTCAATGCAATCCAAATCAAAATACCCATGACATTCTTCTGAGATCTAGAAAAATTATGCTAAAATTCATATGGAAACACAAAAGATCCTGAGTAGCTAAAGCAATCTTACACAACATAAACAAAGGCAGAGGCATCACAATACCAGATTTCGAGACATACTACAGGGCAGTTATAATCAAAACACCCTGGTACTGGCATAAAAATAGACATGTAGACCAATGGAACAGAATAGAAACTCTAGAAATCAATCCATGCATCTACAACCAACTAATCTTTGAAAGGAGCTAAAATCAATCCCTGGAGAAAGGACATTCTCTTCAACAGATGGTGCTAGGAAAGCTGGATCTCCATATGCAGACCCCTAGCTTACACCTTTTGTAAAAATCAACTCAAAATGGGTCAAGGATCTAAATGTATGACCCAATGCCATCCAATTACTAGAGGAGACCATTGAGGAAACTTTGCAAGACATTTGCAGAGGCAAAGACTTCTTGGAAAAGACTCTTTAGATGCAATGTCTTTGAACAGCCTTTATCTTGACTGTTGAAGAGCAGTTTCTTCTTTTCATATTATTTGTTGAACTCTTTATTTGGTATAGAGTTAATCATATGTGTATAAAGTTAATTGAAAATAGATCTTAGTAAAAAATAAGAATGAGAATAGGATAGGGAGGAGGAAGAGTAGTGGGAGTGTGGGTGAGAGAGCAGGTACAGTGGGAAGAATCACTGTGTTCCTAAAGTTGTATTTATGAAATGCATGAAGTTTTTATTCCTTAAATAAAAGGTTTCTGGTGAAAAAAATAAGAAGCCCAAATTGACAAATGGGATTACATCAAGATGAGAAGCTTCTGCACTACAAAAGAAACACTCAACAAAGTAAAGAGACAACTGACAGAAGAAAATATTTGCAAACTATGAAACCAATAAAGGATTAATATCCAGAATCTATAAAAAGCTCAAGAAACTCAACAACAACAAAACAATTCAGCTAAGAAATGCACAAAGGACTTCAACAGGCATTTTTCTAAAGAGGAAGTTCAGATGGCCAACAGACACATGAAAAAATGCTCAGGATCACTAGCCATCAGGGAAATGCAAATCAAAACTATAATGAGGTTTCACCTCACCCCTGTTAGAATGACTGTCATACAGAAATCAGCAAACAATAAATGCTGGCAAGGATGTGGGGAAAAAGGTGCCCTAATGCACTGTTGTTGGGAATGTAAACTAGTAAAGCCACTGTGGAAGACAGTGTAGAGATATCTCAGAAATCTGAAAATAGATATAACATTTGGCCCAGAAATCCCACTCTTGGAAACTTACCCAAGGGAAATGAAATTGGCATATGAAAGAGTTATCTGTACCCCCATGTTTATTGCAGCTCAATTCATAATAGCTAATATATGGAATCAAAACAGATGTCCATCAACTGATGACTGGATAAAGAAATTATGATATATAGACTGATAGATAGATAGATAGGTACATAGATAGATACATACACACACACTATGGAATACTACTCAGACATAAAAAAGAATGAAATCCTGTCTTTTGCAACAAAATGACTACAACTGGAAACCTTTATACTTAGTGATATAAGCCAGTCCAAAAAGACAAATACAATATGTTTTTCTTCATCTGTGGTAACTAATGGAGTACCAAAATTGTAATGTATAGGAGTGCAATTGACATTTTGAGCTTCGATGATTGTTTACAGCCCTGACAGTATTTTTTCTTATTATTATTACTATTTTTCGAACTCTTTACTTAGTGTGGGTTAATCTTATGAGTATAAGGTAAACTTAAAGTAGATCATTGTGAAAATTAAAGGAGGTATTAGGAGTGGAAGGAGGAGAACAGTAGGAGCATTTGTGGGAAGAAGGGTAGAGTGAGATGTATTACTATGTTCCTAAATCTGTATACATGAAATACATAAAATTTGTATACTTTAAATAAAATTTTTAAAAAAGGCAAGCAGAGCAAGATAACAGTAAAAAAAAGCTAACTAGCTTCTTAATCCTATAATCACTTTTATAAAGAGGATGACTATTAGCATATGTAATCTGACTTAAATATGATTCTAGTACTTGATGACCTCTGGAAAGGAAGGGTTAAAAAACAATAACCAAAAAAGAAAAAGATGAACTCCTATATCTCCAGCAAAATTATAAAACATATTGTTTCTAATGAGAAAATAGTTCAGCCTGGCCTATCAGTGCAGTAGCATACCCTGTATTTGACTCAGAGTAAATGGTTTTTAGCATTTATTCATGTTATTTTTATCACTTAATTCCAAAGAAGAAAATTTCTAGTTCTGGCAAAAAAACTATTTTATATTCTATTCTTATTTCCCCCAAAATAGCTTCCAGTGCTGAATAATAATTGTTTCAAAATAAGTAATCTACCTGCAGATGTTTTATATCATATGACAAACTATGAATTGTAGCATTTGTGCTTTGACAGCCTATGAAATCGTTATTTATTATCACAGTTCCTTCATTCACAGGATTTGATTTTTAAGGATTTATGATCTGATCAGAAATATTTTAATAAAAGTTTTGAAGCTGAAGCTTTTAAAATCAATATCAGGATTTACTAGTAAAAGCCTAGAATCAGTGAGTGAAATGTTATTGTAACCATTTATCCATTGTGACCTTTAAAACAATAATAAAAAAGAAAACTTGCTTTCTCATGCCCATAGTTTATACCTTGCAACACTAGATAAAATCAAGAAGCTTTTTTCATTCATTTCATGACTCTTCCAAGAATTACTCATATACTGTTGCCAGGAGGCAGTGACAATACCAGATCTCAGTATTTAATAAGATGAAAATAGATAAGATAGACAAAGAGCTTTCTTTACCTGGTGTGTCTTTACAAGAATAACCAGAATAGAGAGAAATATAATCTGATCATATTCAAAATATAAGTGTATAATCTGCTCTCTCAGGGGTGTGCAGTTCTCATATGTGGTTCCATAAAATGGCCTCAATCTAAAATTTCCATTCAATCAAATCTTCATTATAAAAGAAATATATTTCTTCCTACTGGTAATCCCAGGTCTAAAAATATTATTTTGGATAAGCTACATTATTGATCATTTATTAGCTCTGCTAAAGAAGTTTACATGAGCTGGATCTTTCAGTACAGAAGATTAATGGGATCACTACATTAAATACATCATCTGAAATACCTCATATTCCCACCAGAAACTACAGAATGTCACCAGTTAGAGTCAGATTTAAGAGAGAGATTGGGTAGGGAATCATGAAGGTTGGTAAATTGAACCTCAAGTTGGAAAAGGAACTTGGCAAGGGCACAGGGGGCAAAAGAATCTCGACTGGGCACCTATGGATTCTAATCCAGGCTGTGTTTCCAGCAGGTGCTCTAACCTTGGGTAGGTTCGATCTCAGTGCCATTGGACAAGAAGGGTCCAGCCTTCTATCATTTTGGGACTTTCTGAATGATATCCAGAGACCCACACCCATTCGTTTGTCACTAATGAGCTGAGCTAAGGATGAGACCAAAGTCTTGCAAATGCCTTCCTGAAATCCTGGAATGTTATAAGCAGAACATGAAAGGCAGCCTACAGTTACCCAAGAACCCATAGATTCAAAATAGAATCTTCAGAATTAGAAAGAATATAGTGGGGGCTGGTGTGGGGTCAGTGTGGAAATGAGATAGGAAAGAAGAAACGTGAATTAGATGATTTCAGCATCCCTGAGGATTTGACTGGTCTAGGAGAGCCATATGGAATGACATCCTAGGACACCTGCAGAGTTGACTGCTGCACTTTCCTTCAAGAGTAGGAGAGCCACAGCCACCTTGGACTTGGCCGAGAGGCTCCACAGTAGACTCCCTTGCAGCTCCCATCCCATCCAGCAGTGATGTGTAGTGACTTGATATGCAAGGAGGGATGGGGCCCAGCAAATGAGTACAAAGTAGAGTATTGTCCAAGGTCAGAGAAGAGTGGTTCTCAAAGCAAGAATTTAGAAGTGGGATCAAATTGTGCAAGCAGTTAGAAGAATGCTACATAGAATTCTGAGAGTAACGATGTAGGCCCCTGGTTATCTTCGATGCTTTTCAGGCTATCCTGCACCTCTTCTCTGGTGGGAATCCTACTGCCAGAGCACCTAACTGTTCTCTGGAGAGAAGTCATCTCCTTCCAGCATTGTTTGCTACCATCACCTTAATAAGCATTAGAACATTTCTCCTTCCCACTTCCACCCATCTGAGGTCATGGGGAGGCTTTCCCTTCCCTTTTCTGTGCCCACCCACCTCCTACCCAACCCGCAACCTCAGTTTTGCTAGATGGTGTTGAGGTTTCCCCTGGCAGTCAATATCTGCTTTATTTCAGTATCTTTACTTGACACTTACATTAGATAATCCCGGTCAGTCTTGTACTAACTCCCATTTAGATTTAACTCTCTCTATTGCAAGTGTCATTGCTCACCACCTATTCCCTGTCTTCTTCATCTTTAACTCTCTCAGAGTCTATGTTCAGGCTCACTTGTTTGGTAGAAGGTCTGGATCCTTACCTTGCCACAAAGATCTTTCTCTGACACTGGCAGATGCAGCCTGTCATTTCTCGGCACCATCTTCTTCAGTTTACCTGCAATAATTGTCTATAAAGTTCCATTTCTAGTCCCATTTTGCTCCTGTAACCCTTAGATGTGATGGTGATTATGATGTTGTACATGCAGTCTTCTGTCTCCCCTCAGCAGTTCTATTTCTTTCTGGTGACCTGGTCTTTCCCATGCATTGTTGGTTTCCCTTTGTTCACTGAGGCTCACGTCCATGTGCTGGGGGCACTTCAGTGGCATTGGAGGACACTGAGACCCCATGGGCAAGCAGCAAACTTGTAAGCAGCAAGTTGTGTACAACCCCTACAAAGACTTTACCAAAAGACCTCTTGCTTCCCTGGTCCCCTCAGCTGGTGCCATCCTTGCCTCTCAAGGGTGCAGGAGGACTCAGCCAACCTGATAAACAGGAGAGGATGTGTGTGTAGGGGTCGGGGGATGCTTCAGAGAACAGACAAAATCACTGGGGCCATTGCCACCTTCCACCAGGAAGGACCACTGGCGAGAGAGTGTTCCTAGAATCCCCAGGGCCCTCATCTTTCTCAAAGAGGCTGTCATCCCCCACCAGCCTTCTGACAGATCTCTCACAAGCCTGACCTCTTCTGGCACCCTCAGGACCCAGGAAGGCTGCCAAGGATGAGGGAGCCAGTAATTACTTCCCAACCTCCAGCACCTCACCTGCATCAGCTGGGAAATGGTGAGAAGATAAGGATTCCAGGCTTACTGATTCTAGACTTACTGATTCAGAATCTCAAAGGGAGGCCTGGAATCTAGGTTAAGATGGTCCCCAGGTGCATCTGGAATGGGTTGAGTTTCAGAATCAGTGATTGAGGGTAGAAGCTGGTGCTTTTGCTGGGGGGAGCTAGGAACTGACTTTAGAGGTCGATGGGGCTAAGCATGCCCTGGTAAGATTCTGGCCATCATGCTTTTGTACCCAGAGTGTGAGGTCACCCAACACCTGAGAACCCATGATATGCTCAGTCTGTCCTTCTCAATATGTCAGTTCCTCTCTGTCTCTGTCACCTTATACCATGAGTTTCTTCTATGACTTGCAATATCTTCTACAGTCTGGGTAAGAAGGGAAGGTGTTTATGAATAGGAACAGATGTCCTTTATTACACATGCCAGGCCTAAAATAACTGTGGTCATATAAAATGAGAAGAATATCATTAGAGCAATCTTTGATAGGTTGTATTGAGGACATAACCACTACAAAAGTTTTTTTCTAGCTCTCATTATAAGTCAGATCTAGCTCATTCCAAGATTTGGGATGACGGAGAAGCCCCTCTGAGACACAGCAGAAAACAGAGGACAGGTGAGCTGCAAAACCACGTGATGGACTTTACAGTTTCTGCCACTTGTGTGTATGTTAGGGGTTGAGGTGGCTGGTGTACAATCATGTCCACTCACATTCTGTTGGCCAAAGCAAGTCATAGCCAAGCCTGAAGTCACTAGGCAGGAAAGTGTCATGATCCCTTGGGAGGCACTGGACCACAGGGCAATGCCTGGGCAGGTAGAGTCCTCTTACATTGAGAAGAGCAAATAATTGGGACGAATAAGACCTCATCACAATCACAGGGCAGAAAAGCATCCCTTTTAGAAATGTACTGACATAGAGGCCCAGTACAGAAAACCACCAAGTGGACAGCAATTACAGGAGATCTGGACTACTGCCCCTCTGGCAAGTGTCCCAGGTGATTCAGCCAGGTGAGATGTTCTTCCACCTTTCACAGTATGAGCATGTACAAAAGTATCTAAAGAAGGTTCAGACACACTTTATGTCATGCTGATCTGTTCCAAGTTGCGTGGTCAAAAACAGCATGGGACATCCAGAGTGGTGCAACCTGTTGGCATACTCTCCCCCGACTGAACACATATAGTCACTGTCAGACTTCAGGGCCTCCAACAAGGTCACTAGAGCCTATTAATCCCACTCCTCTACACTACTGAATAGCTCTTCTTCTTCTACAGTTCCTCTATTCCCTTCTTCCAATCCTCATTTTCTTTTTCATATTTCTATACCTTCAAAATTTCCTTCTCTTCTTTTTTTCCTGGATCAAAATCTTGTCTGTATGAGAAATGACAAGGCCTCCAGCCCTGCTATCAGCTTAATGCTTGGTCCACTGCTGGGCAGAAGCTCCAAGGTAGACACCAAGTGCAGCCAGCTTATCTTTCTTTCTGAATGATCCAGATACTTAAAAAGCTAAAGTTCTCTCAACCAACCAAGGCTGCTGCAGATTTTTTTAGTCTTCTGCTCACATATTCTCTTGTTTGTAAGTTGAATTTCTTTATTATTATTATTTTTTAAATTTATTTTTAAGGAATACAAATTTCACAAGTACAACTTTAGGGGTATAGTTATTCTTCCCACCATATCATCCCTCCCACCCACATTCCCACTCCTCTTCCTCCTGCCTCTCCCCTTGCCAGTCTCATTCTCCATCATAATGAATTAATTCTATCATTTTCAATTAACTTTGTACACAAAAGACCAGCTCTATACTAAATAAAGATTTCAACAATTTGCATACACACACACAAATATTTGAGAACTGGTTTTACAGTTAACTCTCAATATAACTCATTGAGAACAGAGGTCCTGCCTGGGAAGTTAGTGAATAGTGACTCTTGTTGTTAACTTAACAATTAATACTGTTATATATGACATCAGTGACCACCCAAGGCTCTTGAAATGAGCTGCCTAGGCTATGGAAGCCTTTGAGTTTACAAACTCCGTCAGTATTTGGACAAGGCCATAAGCAAAGTGGAAGTTCTCTCCCCCCTTAGAGAAAATTACATCCTTCTTTGATAGCCACTCATTTCCACTGGGGTCTCACTCGCAGAGTTCCTTCATGCAGAACATTTTCTGCCACCGTCTCTTGGCTTTCCAAGCCTGAAATGCTCTAATGGGCCTTTCAGCCAGATCAGAAAGCTGTAAGCACTAATCCTGAGGTCAGAGTGTTACTTAAAGCGATTATCATTCTATGAGTCTGCTGTGTGGACTGCTTCCCATGTTGGACATTCTCTCCTTTTTAATTCTATCTGTTATTATTGCCAGGCACTTGATCCTATTTATATGATCTCTTTAACACTTAATCCTGTACATATGTTCACTTTAACACTTAATAAGATCACTTTAACAATTAAAATTGCATTTTTACCACAAATTTTAATGGAATTTAGAGTTCCATGACAAGTTTTTAAACTGTACCCTTAGACGTAAGTCCATAGGAATGTTTGCAGAACTATACAGCTTTACAAACTTCTTGAATTGCATGCCCTATTTAGTTATCCCTTGCTGACTCCTGAGTGTTACAGTTGTAAAACTGTCCAAATCCTAACTCCTTCCCCCACTTTCCCTTCATACTTCTCATATATTCTTAATGTACTCAGACTTTATCCTAGCATGTTGATTAACCTCACTGAGCCTCACAAGGCTGTGACTTCAATGAGAAGCTAACTTCAGGTGGTTGCCACTCAAAAATGCTGATTCTATTCACTGACATTTCTCTTCAGTAACTTCTTGGCCATCCTAGATCAAATGAGACTGACTTTGCACTGTGCCCTCTTAGCAGGTGATCAAATAGTTCAAGGCATACTGTAGGTGCTCAATGAGCACTTGACCTACTTTCCTCCCTCGTCCCTCATTTCCCTACCCATCTGTGATCTAAGTTTCATACCCTCTTCATATGTCCTTGTCCTTGCCTCCTTTCCTTCACAGTTGAAACCAAATTGTAACACTTACACATTGGACTTTTATGTGGTGCTAACTATCAATGATCAAAATTATGAGTAACTATGAGAGTTAGTAGAAAATAAGCAAAGCAAAAAGTACCAATGTTCAAAACTTAAATTCTGCCTCTGGCATCTGTAAGCAGCATGCGTTGGGCCCTGCTCCCACTCCTCTCCTCTTCCCAAGACAGCACTAAAGCAAAACCACAATGAACATCTTTATCAAAGGACTCTTCACAACGTTAAATCATTTTGCTGCTTGTGTAGAATCAGGAGGATTCAGAAACACATTATCCACAGATTCCATAAGCAGCAAAGTAGGAAAGAGCAGCTGACAGCTGCCTGGTTATTCTGCAGTGCTCTTACTTTGGTCTCTAACATTCCTCTCTGGCCTGCTCTGCCACCTCCCCTCTCCCCTGCAGCCTCCTCTCTCTGGAGCCTGGTTGAAAGGTGAAACCTCCATTGCCTCTATTGCCCACTGGCAACAGAGCATTGCTGCAAACCCCAAGATATTGCTTCTTACTGCCCTAACTGCTTCTTCCTTCTGAGGAAAATGCTCTCAGAGAAAGCACCCTTCTTAACTAACATTTGTGGAAAGCTTGCCAAAGGGTGGATCCTGTGGCTGGTACCCAAATGAAGCAGGGACAGTTTCTGTCTGTCGTGTCCTTCATGGAGTTCCTGTCTAGTGCATAGCACTAGACAAAACACCTGGCACACATTAAGCCCTTGCTAAGTATTTATTGACTGAATGCATGAATGAGTGGATGCACAGTAAGTGTTGTCAAGGAGAAAAGGACAAATACAGCAGGAGAATTGACACCAGGGACATTGCCTGTGGCTGAAGGTGCCAGGGAGAGTTGATGGGGGAAACTGAGAGGAGCAGAGCTGCAGGCTGAGGAGCTCTGTTGAGGCAGGCAGGTGAGACAGAGGTTGGCACACCAGGGCTCTCTGAGAATGTTCAATCTTTCCTGAAACTTCTCTCAACAAGACAGCTATGGAGTAATTTTCTAAAGGAAAGTACCGTCACAGGAACCTAAAAATAATCATGCTTTTGCCTGACAAGATGTTAGTTTGAAGAACCAACCACTTCCTCTCTAGCTGTCAATAAGAGGATCTCTTTCTCTGCACAACAAGCACCCTGACATCATAGTTAGAAAGTTGGAAGCCCCTTGATCCTTACCCTTTTAAAAATTTTATTTATTTAAAAGGCAGAGAGACGGGGCAAGATAGAGGTCTTCCATCTGATACTTCCCTACCTAAATGCCTGCAATAGCTGAAGTTGAGCCAGGCAAAAAGCCAAGAGCTCAGAACTCAATACAGGTCTCCACTGTGGGTGGAAGCGACCCAAGCACTTGAGCCATCCCAGGGTGAACACTGTCAGGGAACTGGAATTGGGAATGCAACTGGATCTCAAACAAGGACATTCCAACATGGGATGCGGTTATCACAAGCAACATCCTATCCACTGTACTAAATACCTTACCTTTTGAGATGTTTGACTCAAACTTGATGAATCTTGTTTTTCACCAGTGTATCTTGTATTGCTCAATGCTGAACATGTTTCTTTCCAAGAACTGAGTATAGTGCAGTTTTCTGTGTGTAAAGATGGTTAGATTGCCTTCTCTAAGGCACCAGAGGAAGAAAGAACTAGCATTGTAATTAGGACAATTATTAAGGGGACAACATTGCTGGGTATAACATGAAATACTTATTTTGAATTCCTGCATACTTACTACTTTTCAATTCATTTGTCATAATGGTAACCACCTGTTATAGACTAAACTGAGTCCCCTGAAATTCATACTTTGAAGTCCTAACCCTCAGTTCCCCAAAATGTGACTGTATTTGGAGATAGGGCCTTTAAAGACTTCATGAAGCCTAGATGATGTCACACTGGTGGGCCCCAATCCAGTCCAAGTGGTGTCCTTATAAGAAGAGAAAAAACGGACTGGTACCGTGTCTCACTTGGATAATCCTCCGCCTGCAGCACCAGCATCCCATATGGTTCTAATCCCAGTTACTCCTCTTCCAATCCAGCTCTCTGCTATGGCCCGGGAAGGCAGTGGAGGATGGCCCAAGTGCTTGGGCCCCTGTACCCACATGGGAGACTGGGAGGAAGCACCTGGCTCCTGGCTTGGGATTGGTGCAGCGCTGACCGTAGCAGCCATTTGGGGAGTGAACCAATGGAAGGAAGACCTTTCTCTCTGTTTCTCTCTCTCTCTCTCTCTCTCACTGTCTATAATTCTACCCGTCAAATAAGTAAAAAAAGAAGAAGAAGAGAAAAAGCTCCAGAGATGCACATACACAAAGGAAAAACCACGGAAGGACTCAGCAAATTGGTGGCCACCTACGAGCCAAAGAGAGGCCTCAGTAGAAACCAAACCTGCTGGCATCTTGATCTTGCACTTGCAGCCTCTACAACTACGAGAAAATTAATTTCTGTAGTATCTAGTGTGGCAGCCCTGGCAGACTAGTATGCT